CGGCCCAAGCCTGGGGGCGCCGACCCACGCTGCGGACCTGTAAATCCTCACAGTGAGGACAGAGCACCTGCCATGAGCCTGCCCCGTGGGCTCACACGCACAATCCCGTCTGACCTGTGCGGAGAGTTACTGTGCCAGGCACTGTGCTAGGCCACCCTCCCAGGCCCCTGTTTACCTAATCCCCCAGAAACCCTGGAGGCAGGCACTGTGGCCGCACCTGTATTCCCATTTCACAGAGGAAAATGGAGGCACGAGAGGCGCGGTGACAGGCCCGGAGAAAGACTGCCGGGGAGCAGCCCAGCTGGGAGCGGACCCCGCAGCGCGCCGGTCGGTGCATCCGGTCCCTGTCCCGAACCCAGGAGCTACCCGCACCCAGTGGCAGCAGGGGCTGGAGACTTTAGGTGGGGAGAGGAGGCCTCCCATACACACGCCCAGGCTGGGAGGGAAACTGAGGCCCAGAGGAGGGGGTAGTGAGGAGGAAGAAGGTGGAAAGGAAGGGCAGGCGGCCTGGGTGGGGCGGGGCCACCCCATTAATGATTCAGTTAATGATTTCTGCTCCCTGTCCTTATCAGGAGGGCAAAGTCCAAGGGCAGCAGCCAATCAGGGGCCCCGATGGGCTGTTACCCAGCAGCCTCTGCTGCCAGGGCCCCCCAAGTCCTGTAAGCCCTTGGGAGCGAGGGAGTGGGGGCCAGGTCCCCAGGACGAGGCCATTCTGCCCAGAGTGGCCTGTTTTCCTCCCAAACACCCTGCTTGGCCCAGCCTAAGACCCAAGGGGCCCTCTGCCCAGGCCCCCAGACTCAGGAGAGGCCCCGAAGCCAGCAGGTGGGGGGCAGCCAGCTCCTCTGCCCGCTGCACTGCGCCAGCCCCCCTGGAGAGCTGGCTGCCTGGGGTGCCCCCGACCCCGCCTCCACTCACATAGCCACTATCGCCTCCATTGACCCAGAGAACATTTCCTGCCCCCACCCCACCCCCACCCTGTGTAGTGCTATATGTTGGGGACAACAGGATGAGTCAGCCACCCCCCCTGCCATTTCTCTTCCAGCTGGACTCAGGGCCTGGGGAGGTGGGGCTGGGACAGGAGTCCTCCCAGGGGCTCTGGGTCGACCCCGGGTCAGGCAGACAGGCTGGCATGGGCTCAGGGCCAGCCATCACATACCCGAGCTCTGCCTCGCCTCCCATCCCCATGGGGGTCCCCTCCTCCAGTCATCAGGTGGCCTCCCCCTGAGGCCTCCTCCTACCCTCAGGAGTCAGAGATGCTGGTCCCCATAAGGAAGGCCACCCTCCCTCCCCCAAGGCCCTGGAGGCAGGGGAGAGGGCAGGGGGTTAGGTGTCATCTCTAGTTAACACCGCCTAACTCCCTTCTCTTGGAGCCTCCATCTTGGCTCTTGGGAAAGCGGGGCAATGCACCCCCATCCCAGAGCGGGGTGAAGGGGGGCTTTCAAACTAGGAGCCTGGTGCCCTAGGGAACTGTGGGGGGCCCAGGCCCTTGTTTCCAGTGTATCTATCTCATCAAGAGGCCAAAGACAATAGAGTTTGTCTTTGTTCTGTGGCTAAAAAGAATCACATGGGAAGTCCCATCGCTGGTCCAATCCACCTGCCTACCCCAGGAGGGGACATGAGGCCAGAAAAGAGAAGTTACCAGCCCAAGCCACCTATCAGGTCTGAAAGGAATGAGACCCAGCCTCCCAGCTCCAGCCCTGGTGGGGCTCTAGGGGCTGTGTGGAGGTCCCCCAACTTGTCAATGCCCTTTCCAGTACCTTCTGGAAGCCCCGCTCCCCTCAGCCTGTAATGCTTCCTCCACACCCGCCTGCTTTCTGGGGGCACTGGCTGGTCCCTCAAGGTCCACGTGCCCCTGGAGTCAGGGGCCAGCACTCTGCCCCTTCCATGGTCCTTCCCAGGGCTGAGACAGGGCCATCAGAGCTGAAGGTATCATCGGGACCCTCTATGCCACTCCCTGCTCTTGTAGGTTAGGAGACAAAACCCAGAGAGGATGAGAGCTTTGTGCAGGGTCACACGGCTCTCGATGGCCGAGCCTTTGCCAGAAACTCTAAGGTCCTGTTGGGCTCCTCTGCACTGCCTCGCCCCTGTCCCTAACCAGGCTCTGAGAGTTCAAGGCTCCGCTGGTCAAAGTGATGAGTACACCTGCCACCGACCGCAACCCTGTTACCTGCCGGGAGCCAGTGCATCCTGCCGGAGGGTCTCCTCTCTGCAGACCCTGTGCCCGCTGAGCTGGGCGACTGTAGCCTCCCTCCAGGGGATTAGCAGGGACGTCACGGGGGCCCGGCTGTACCAGCCTCAGGGGGATGGCCCTGTCCCAGCCTCCCACCTGAGGCCCAAAGCGCCTTAGCCCTTGGCCCGCCACCCTGGGGCAGGCAGCTTGGCTCACCCACACAGGGCAGGACCAGGACATATACCTGGTGTGCCTACAGAGTGGGCCATGTCAGATGAGGGACCTCGATGCTACCCAAAGCAGAAAGCACAGACCCTCCCTCCTATACCCACTGTCCAAAGGGAGTGACCAGGGCCGAGTGAACAGGGACCAGATGAGAACTCAGGCGTCCCAAGCCTCAAGTGTGAGAACATACATTGTTCTCACACCCTCAGCAACACATCCACCTGCATGAAAGCACAGCCTCCCAGCCCCCGGCACTTCCGTAGCACACTCATGAGCACACTCAGACCCGGCCACTCCCAGCAGCTGCCTAACGCCCGTACTGGGTCCATACACCACTGCCCACCCGCTTCCCTGCCAGGCCTTCCCTTCCCACATGGCCCCGGAGACCCCTGCCCTCGGCGCCCACCCCACCTTCCCCCCCAGCTCAGGCTCTGGGAACACTTCTCCTGCCCCTGGCTCCCTCTGGGCCTTCCTCAGTGGGCAGCCCCACACCACCCCCTGCTCCCCACAGACATTCTTGAGCCTCCTCTTATCTCTCTGGAGGAGCAGCACAGCCTCCCCGCCAGGCCAGCCGCATGGCTGAGCTGTGGCGTCAGCCCCCACCCCCCACCCTCGGCCAAGAGGGAAAGTTTGGCTCAGGAGACAGGGAGCCCAGGCCAGCCAGGCCCATCCCTCTGCCAGGGCCCAGGGCTCTAGGGGAGGAGGCATGAGGATATCTGCAGGAAGCGAGGGGGCCTGGCCCCGGGGTCACCCGGAGTGCTAGCAGGTTCAGGGCACCCCCAAAGAGTACCCTCTAAGCCAGGACTAGGCTCCTCTTCCCACCTCCCCAGGGGCCCCCAGTCCCCATGAGTCCCCTTGAAGGCTCTTAAAGAATGAGCAGTGTCTGGGGGAGAATGAAAACCCCTGGGACTGACTGATAGGGGGCTGCCTAGGACTCTCAAATGGCTAAACACCTCCACTGAATCTAGTTCAAAGCTGATTTCTTGGGGCCCAGATCTGCTGGAAAGCCCAGAGTTCTAGCATGAGAGGCACGAGGCTTGGGGATGCCCTTCCCTGGGCTGCTCAGGAAGCAGAAGCAGACGGACAGAGGCTCCCACCCCGAACTCACAGGGAGAAACTGAGGCAAAGAGGGGCCTTCTTCTCTCCCTCATGGGACCTGAGATATGGGCACTGGGCTTGAAACTGGGGCCCTGATTCCAGGCCCTCTGGTCCAACAGTCCCAGTTCAGTGCCCCATGGGTCACCCTCAGGCTCCCAGCAGCAGATTCACACCAGTGGAAGCTTCTGGATCACTGAGTTCTGGGTTGCGAATGCACTGAGGAGCAGGCTGTGGGCTTAGGGACTGCGGAGAAGGTAGGGCAGAGGCTAAGCTCCCCAAGTTGGCGGAGTGGGGCACAAAAGGAGCCAGAGGGTCTGGTCAGATGCGCCACCGAGGGTCTGAGCAGCAGCGGAGGCTGGGACGTGTCAGCCTGCACCTCTGCCTCCCCTCCCTCACTCCGTCCCATCCCTCCTGAATCCAGGACCCGCAAGGAGGGGGACAGCCCTGAAGGAGGGGCAGAGGCTACTCTGGAAAAGAAAATATTGTAAAGTGTGTGTAGATCCCAGGCTCGGAGAGGGCCAAGGTGAGGGGCTGAGGTCGCTCCTGGGGTGATGGCAGAGGGGAAGACAGGCAGAGGAGGCAAAGCTCCAGGGACAGGTGTGGGCAGCAGAGCCCTGGAGAGCCTCAGGGGCCTGGTGGGATGCCCTTCGAAGCTTTGGGAGGGTCTCTGTTTGGGGATGGTTTGGAGGTGGCTGGAAGTAGGGACGCCAACTTCAAGGATGTTCTGGCCCAAGGAGAGCATTTGTGGGTAGAGGGTGGTGGTGGAGGGATCCCACCCAGAGAGGAAGGCTGGGGAGGGGTTCCCAGCCCCAAGTAGGGGAGGGATAGAGCTGCTTCAAGAGGAATTGCAGCCTTGGGGGAGGGGACATCCTTGCAGAAGGTGGGTGACAGTCTTGAAGGGGGTCCCAGTCTCAAGGAAGCCCAGTGGGAAGGTCCCGGCTCCCAGGTGTCAGGCTTGGGGGAGGGTGCCAACTGGAAAGGCACAGCAGAGGCGCGGGTGTCTAGGCAGTGGTCCCCGTCTCTGGGGGGGAACCGCTGGGAGTGGGGTGCCAGCCTAAGAGACATGGAAGGTCTCTTCCATGGGGTTCCAGAGAATTACAGTAGAGGGTCCCCAGACTCTGGAAGTGGGGAGTGCGCTGGGGGTGGGAGGTGTCAGAATTTAGCGGGGGGCGGGGGGTGCAGGGTTGGGGGGATGCTGCGGGTCCTGGAAGGCGTGAAGGATGACTGAGCACAGAAGGGGAAACAGCTTCAAATTAGTTGTTTGTGGGACCGGGAGCCGGGAGCCCAACTTTTCAGGAGGTGGGTAGTGACCTGCGGGAGACTCCTAGCCCTGGGAACCAGCGCCGCAGGCTGGTGCCAGCCTGAAGGAGGGCCCCCGCCTAGAGGAGGCGTCCCGGGGGTTCCCAGCATGGTGAAAGCACAGTCGGGGATAGCAGACCCCGGGGAGGGCAGAGGGGCATTCCCCACGCGGGAGGTTGGCCGCCCCCGCCAGCCCGCGGTTACTCACCTTCAAAGAAGCGCTGCAGCGCCTCCGTCTCGTCCACCACCTCCATGTCCGGCCTGCCCGGCGCGCACTCCCGCCCCGGCCCCGCTACAGCCTGGCCCGGGGGCGCGGCATCGCCGGCGCGGCCCGCGCGACAGTCCCGGCTCGGCTCCCGCTGCCGTCCCGCCCGCTGCTTCGCTCGCCTCCAGCGCGGCCCTGGCCCGGCCCCCGACCGCCCCACGCGCCCCGCCCGCCGTGCTCGGCGCCCCCTGCCGGCCGGCTAGCGCCGCAGCCCCATGGCGGGCGGGACGCGTGGCTCCGCGGGCGGCGCTAGCTAGGGGTCCTTCCCCGGCTGAGGGTCGCTCGACGACCTGGCCGCGTGCCGGGAGGGAAGGGCGTGCAGGCTAGGCCGGGGTCGCCGTGCCTGGGGTTGCGGCTGGGGCTGGGGCTGGGGCTGGGGTCGGGGTCAGCGGCCACTCCCTGTCCCGCAGTCCTCGCCCTCCCTTTGCGTAGGGGAAAGATCGCGGGAATCTGAATCTGACATTATTTTGGGAGCCAAACCTCAGAGACATCCTCCATTTCCTTTCCTTACCCACCCCCAATCTCAGCAGTAACAATAATAACCAGCATTTAATGAATACTTGGTATGTGCCGACCCACTGAGCACCTTGCAGGAGTTATCTCAGTCAGTCTTCACAGGTACCTTACCAAGGAGACTCTACTATGTGCATTTTAGAGATGAGGAAACTGAGGCTCAGTGACAGTGTGTACCGTATGAGGGAGTGCTGTGGGGTGTGATTTCCTGTGGCGATGGAAATGTCCCCTGTGTTGTCCACATGTGGCTACCGAGCCCTTGGAATGGGGCATTTGGAATGACTGAGGAACTTCCAAAGTTCCTCAATTTTATTTTATTTTCAATTTTATTTTAATCGTTTTGGATTTAAGTAGTTGTGCGTGGCTATGGTTTTGGAGCACAGATCTGAGTGTTTCAAGGTAATCAGGGTCAGAGCTAGCGTTCGATCGCAGCCAGATCCTGGCTAACCCGGGAAGCTGCCCTCTCAGTCACTGCTTCCGTGTGGCAGGGTGAGACCTGAAGGTTAGCCTCCAGCTGAGTCACCCCCTCATCTCTCTGCCTCCTTGTCTCTGTCCTGCCCCACTGCACAGCTCCCTGCCTCACTGATCCCTGCAATCCTTCCAAATCACTTTCTAGAAAACTTAATCAGATCATGTCATTACTTTGCTAAAACCTGTGGTTTCCCTTTGCACTCAATGGCAACCACAAGTTTTAGCAAAGGAATGACATGTAAACCTCTTGTCCTGGTTCCCAAAGCCTTATATGATCTGCTCCTGTCTGGACCACTGACCTCAGCTGCTACTTTCCTCCCCACTGCTCACTAAGGCACGGCCACGAAGGCCTCCTTGCCAACACTCAAACATGCTGCAGGGGCTAGGCACGTGCTGGCCCATGTGTCTCTAATGCCGGTCCCCACATAGCCGGTTCCTTCTCAGCAGTCAGGTCTCAGCTCACACATCCCCTCTCTGAGATCCTACCTAAAGCGATTGTCCCTACCTATGATTTTCTCACCATAAAATAGTATCATTTAGTGTTTGTCATTATCCTTCTCACTCTGGAATGGAATCCCTATGAGGGTAAGAGATTTTTCTGACTTGGTCATTGCTGTAGCTTCAGCACTAAGTACACTACCTGGCACATAATAGGTGCTCAATAAATTTGTGTTGAATGAATGGATGATGGCATTTTCTTTCTTTTTTTTTATTTAAAGATTTAATTTACTTATTTTTAGAGAAAGGGGAAGGGAGGGAGAAAGAGAGGAACAGATACATCAATCAGTTGCTTCTTGTATGCACCTAGGAATCGAACTGGTGACCTTTTACTTTACTGGGTAACACTCAGCCAACTGAGCCACCCCATTAGAGTAAGGACAATGGCATTTTCAAACTGTGAAATCCTAGACCTCTGAAAGCTTGGAAGCAGGGAATTCTGGAATCCCAGAGCCAGTCAATCATCTCACTGGGGAATGGCTCCACTCACAGCCTCTCCTCTCCGGACCCAGCAAGTGAGAGCTGGAAAAACCTATCCCGCCTCACTGCTGTTCAACACGCAACAAACAGAGGGGTGGGAGGACTTGCGAGCAGCTCAAGATGCCAGCCTGGGGCTCTTAGCTCGACCAGCCACTGGCTCCCCAGAGGAGGAGAGCAGGGACAAGCTGGGCTGTCCGGTGAGGCTGGGCTGAGAACCTGCAAAGCGGCTCCCACCCAGGCGGCCCTCCCCCTCCTCAGTGGCCAGCCATGGGGGAGGGGTGGCTGGTGCCTGAGCCCCAGATGTGGCCCAGTCAGCAGGCCCGTGGGGCCCTCCAAGGAGGGTCAATGCCATGACAGTTCTGGGCTGGGGGAGGGGATGCCTGGGCTGGCGGGTGCCTCACAATGAGGTTTTGTCCCGCGGGGGCCTCATGCTGTTGCTCTTAGATATATAGAATGGGATTCTGCTGGAGGCCCCAGCTGTGTGTGCTCCCCCCACAGGGCCAGAGCTGAGAGGGGGGAGAGGGCCACACTGAGGCGCCTATTCTTTTCCAGCTGATACACCCCAGAGGTTTTTCTCCCTCTGCAGCCTCTCTTAAGACAATTGTTATTCTCTGCTCTGCCTCTCCCCCACCCACGGTCAGGCTTGCCTGTGGACAAGTAGACACCCACCTACACCATATGATTTTTTTTTTAATGAATTTATTTTAGGAGTTGCCTGGGACCAACCGGAAAACCAGCTTCTTTATAAGCCTCCCCAACCCACAGGTCTTTCAGTCATATCCCATGTGGTGCCAAAATGTCCATCACTCAAGGGCCATCCCCATGAGGTAAGCCTTACCCTTTTCTTCGTCATCAAGGGATGGGGTGGGGAAGATATGTGTACGTGTGTTTTATCTCCAACACCCCAACTCCTCAGGCTGAATTATCAAGTCTCCAGATAGCCTTGAAGTTAGACAGGGCAGGATGGAGCCTCCCGTTAATCCCATGGGAGCTGGCCTGGTTAGGGGTTCAGGCCCTGTCATCTCTCCTGACTCCACAAGGCCACTGAACAACTGTCCCCAGGGATTTTCATCTCCGGCCTGTGGGAAAGGGGTGACTGAAATGTCCCAGACTGTCAAGGGCCGAGCCAAGAGTTAAGACTGCTGTCCTCTCACTCACCCAGCTGGGGCAGAGCCTGGGGTAGGGGGGGCAGGGCAGTGGCTGGGGCTAGTGAGGGAACTCCAGGGAGCCTTGCATCACCAGGACCTTGAGAGGCCCATCCATGGAGAGGAGTCCCCATGTCCAGCCACCCCCCTAACCAAGCCACAGGGAGTGAGGGACCAAGAACTCAGCCTGGCCCAGCAGACGTGGCTGTCCCCTATGGCTGGCTCAGCTGTTCCCCAAGGCCTGCCCTCTGGCGTTCAGAGGCCTCATCTGCGGATCAGCCCATTATTCTCGCCTCACAGTGTAGGTCAAGCGCTAGGGAAGTGATCAATAAGTGGAGCTTTCTAAGACTCCAGGTCATTTCCCAGCAGTAGGGCCAGGAGGAGGTGGCAGGACAGAAAGCACCTCTGGGGAAAGAGAGGCAGGGACTTAAGGGTTAATGGTTAACCAGCTGGAGACCAGCCCAGGGGAGGGTGGGGTTCAGCTGACTGGCCAGTCTTCCCTAGCAAGGGACTCCTGGCCTCCCATGGGCCCCCAAAGCCCTGGCACCCACCCATTTTACCAGGGAGGCCCGAAGGGTGGTGAGTAGGAACCCAGAGAGACCCTGAGGCCAGGGGCACAGCTGCCTCCGACAAGGGTGAGGGCACACCTGGGGCTGGGGGTCCTCATTCTCTCTCCCACCTTCCTCCTACCTGAGCCAGAGGGACCATCCGGCAACCTGAGTGGCCACTGGAAGGCAGAGTGCTGCTCCGGCCTCTCCCAGGCTGGCCTTCTTGTCCCTCACTGTGGCTGTATGACCTTCTGCAAATCACAGAACCTCCCTGGCCCTCAGCGGCTTCTACCTCTGCTCCACTAATTACTCTATCCTATTAGGCTATAGGGTGGGGAGAACTTCTGAAAACCATTCGGTGAGGGTAAAGGCCAGAGCCCTAGGCTGGGGGTTCTGGATCCTGGTTTGAGATCGGTCAATACCAGTGAGTGACCTTCAGCAGGTCTTTACCCTCATCTAGCCTCAGTTTCCTCTTCTGTCAGAGAGGCCTTGAGTGAAGGCAGGCACTGTTCTATCACCCTCCCCAGCCCAAGTAGGGTCGCCCTGGACCCATGGATGGGAGGTGGGAGGATGGGCAGTGTAGGAAAGGGAGAAGGTCTGGGTTAGGTCCGAGCTTGGCTGGGTCAGTGCCTGGGCCAGACTGCTCATCATGGTGGGGCTGGCCGGAGGAACAGCGCCACCTGGTGTGTGGAGAGGGCAGGCCTGGCCGCAGGGCTGGCAGGAGGCCCAGGTGCTGTCCGCCCAAGCCCTGCAGCTGCTCCCCACGTCCTACTGTCCTAGAGCCAGGTTTGGTGGGGTCTCCTGGGCCTGGTCAGGCGTTTTGCACACTCCTAGGAAAGCCCTCAAAAAACTTCCAGTGGCCCCTGAATTCCCAATGCAGTGGGGGAGGGGTTAGTGGAGTCCTCCTCCCCTGCCCTGGCTCTCAGCATTGGGCAGGGGGCGGGGGTGGGGGTACTGTCAGACCAGCCTGGTCTTTTTTTAAAGGTTTAAAAATATATATTTTATTTATTTTAGAGATGGGAAGTGAGGGAAAAAGAGAGGGAAGAACATTGACTAGTTAGTTGTCTCTCTCAGGCCCCTAACTGGGGACCCAGCCCACAACCCAGGCATGTGCCCTGACTGGGAATTGAACCAGTGACCTTTCAGTTCGCAGTCCGGCACTCAATCCATTGAGCCACACCAGCCAGGGACAGACCTGTCTGGTCTTGAGCAACTTACTTATCCTCTTTGAGCCCAAGACCCCCTCAGGGAGGAGAAAGGGGCTAACAAGACCCCTCTTCTAAGGCCCTAGTGCAGTCAGACAGATCCCCTGGCACATATCTCACACAGGCAGGGCCCTCTGGCCTCTCTGCCACTCAGGGTGTGGTCCTGGATCAGGCCTTTGGCAGCAGCGAGA